TTTGCCTGGATCATATTTTGCATATACCAAGTCACACGTATTTTGTATGTGTGTTCTAGTGATACTACTCGGTTGACCAGGTTAAAGTAGATGTGAGGTGACTGGAACGCGAAACCCACTAGCTGAATACAAGTACTTAAGTCAGTAAGCCACATCTCTACACTTCTAAGTAATCAGATACAAGCTATTTACAAAAATAATACTTTTTGGCAGTATGTTTGGTAGCCTAAGGGAAAGAATGAATAAACAATCAAATAATAAGCCCTTATTCTTTTCATTAATTTACTCATCACGCAAGCAATACCAATTGTACAAAGATTCGTATTCAGTGAAATTAATCACTTAACCGATCTCAATTCGTAAGCGTCAGTGGGTCAACAAGCCCGTATTGTCGTAATACTATATTGGGTTTATTTCTTGTACACCGTGCTCTGCTTTTCATGTATCTGCCTGGTATTAGTCACAACTTATTGCTAATAAGTAGTATGTGTTTGTGAAATTCATTCAAAATTTCAATTAACGATAATGCAACTATATGCAGAATTTAGAGTAATAATCACTGATACCAATGTCGACAGTAATAATAATAACAATATTTTTATTTTTGTATAGCTTGACTCCACACTGTATTTTTGGTACAAGTATGGAGTTTTCAGCATGTGATAGCGGTACTCTCATTTCGCAGGCCGAGCATTGATATCGGGTGTGCGTCGGCAGGGGATCGAACCCCGGACCATGTGCATGGTCGGCGAGAGTCCTAACCACTGAGACGAGCTAATAACAGTTCAGCCATTGGATTAGAATTCATGAATTCTTACTTCATTATCCTGTTTATATAAGAAATTTCATTTATGTACTATAATTGCATATGTCAGTATATTCAATAGAGTTATGTCTGACTTTTGAGGATATAACTTAATAGTATACCTGTGAATATTTTCAGTTTTGTTTATTCGCCTATTTCTAAGATAACCTTTTTTTAATGTTCAATGAATGTTAAACTGTTAAAATTTATGACATTTCCAAAAATAATTATCCTCTTTTTCGGATGTGAACGAAGGTGTTAAGAAGAAATAAATAAAACAAAGCTGAATGATAGAAGAAGTGTTATGTTTACGCATTTATGTATATTCTTTTAACACGTAACAAAGTGGAACGATTAGAGAACAAGAGTAGAAATTGAGACATCTGTTCTCTTAAAGTATAATTTGTTTGTTTTCTATAAAATTCTTATTGATGAATGAATGAGTATTGGATATGTTATTTACATACAGACAGGATAAAAAATCAGTCAAATAAATTATGTATGAATTTTTGAGAAAAAAAGTAAATTGCATCAAAATATTTGAAGGTGTGAAAATTTAATAGGTGTCTTTATTTTCCAAAAAAAATTAACATATGGAAGGAATAAACTTTTCTGAACAGTGTTAAAAATGGTTTATTTTTCTTCTTCAATTGTTGTTTACACTTTTCACTGTTGTCAACTTCCCTTTTAGGAGTGAAAGGATAAATTACAGCTTTACCCTTTTTCGAATTTCTTTTACACTCAGAAAGTGACTGATATGGATGACAGTTTAATCCAGATTAATAATAAACGGGTTTTATAAATGTCTTTTAATTCAGGCTTTAGGTTTTATAGGAATTTTGATTAAATTTCAATCTAAGTTTTGTCTTTAAATAAAGCAAGAACAACAGTGGTTTGTGCAGAATAATATGGTACCATCATTTATTTCGTCGGCTTCTCATCAGCTGCTTACAGCCTAAATAAATTGTGAGGTTTACGTACAGAAAAGTTTTAACATACTTGCAAATTTTTTCACATGTTGTCAGTTGGCAGAAAGTTCCAAAGTAAGTGAACAGTGCTCAGAAAATTGCGCTTATATAGTTTTTTCACAGGCAGTTCAAGTTTAAACAAAATAAATGTATGCATACAATGGTAAAAGAGTTACGTAATAAAGACGAGAGGTGAGTAAGATGATGAGTAACTAATAAATTTTGTAACGATGTACTGAGTTCAAATCACGTCATAGAAACAAGAGACAAGCAATATTACAGATTTTAAAAATAAAAAAATAAAAAAGGAGGGGTGAGGTTAAAGACAAAGATTACGTAATCAGATTAGAGAATAAAGACATCCAGTTACCATGGCAAGGAAAGACTGATAACTGCTTCTTTCTGAACACATAAATCTGGTTTGAAGCGTTTGATAGAAATTTCTTCGGCAAACTTGAGGAGAATGGAGCTCCTTTGTCTATTGATAATTCACAGATAACTGGATCATAACTCAGTGACTGAAAGATCAATTAACTCTCACTCACTCAAGTTCTTGAATTCGATTCATTGTGGGTTCGAAATGTCAGAATATCACAATGTATGGAATGGATTTCCTGTATCACTCACCTACATAATATTACAAATCAATCGGTTAAACAGATACTTGTTAATTATTTCAGTTTGCTTAGGTTAAGTAAACTGAAACATCGATTTTCACGACTGATAGTTGCTGAACTGTGAAAATTAGAGTTCAACTATTTTTACTTCCTTCCTCACGTTCACTATAGCACTATTAGAACAAATGTTAGAAGCACAAAGTACTATTTGTCGCTATTGTAGCACTACACTGCTTTGCACCCAATATTTACTATAAACAAGGTAAATATTGAATTTCCATTATCATTCTACATCAGTCTTAGCTACTGTCAAAAATATATTTTAATTACTGGTAGCAGCGAAAAAACCATATTTTTCTTTCTATGCCTGTAAACAGATAGCGCTTTGACGTTTGAAATGATAGGTACCGGATTCGTGTGTCAGTGAAGGCATCAACTGATAGGTCGCAAATAGGAAGAATTGCATACCCAATGCTAACCAGTATCAAAACATTACCATAATGTAATACACTTCTTTTTCTTTAACTGGAAATATTAGTAGGTGATGCTTAACAGACAATGGATTAATTAATCCTTATATAGATTATTCGTTGAACATAATTTAACTTGGAAGTGGAGATGGATGCTGATAGACCAAAGTGAATGATAGTCATTTCACAGTGACAAAGGAATCACTAATCAATAATAACTTTGAAAACTGAAAGCTGGAGATACTGATTTCTACACCATCACAGACAAGTCGGTGGCACAGCGGTGGAATGCTCGTCGACCACACAAGTGGTCAGGAGTTCGATCCCAACTGACTCACTCCTTTACCTAGCTAAGCCAGTAATAAGATTGGTGAAGAGGGAAGGTTGGGCATGAGGCTAGCAAACCCATCCCGTAAAAATAGAGACCACTGCTACCGAAAGTTCAAGCCTCTAGCTTGAAGCCCTATGTTCCACTAGGAACGTAAACGAATAAAAAAAGTCAATTTAGGTTTCCTTCCTTCGATTCTGTAGTTTGTTTTTTCATATAAGAAAAATGTTTAAAATGATTAAAAATATTCGAAATATTGTTCTTATCTTTACTGAACGATAAATGTGTCTTTAAACTAAGTCTTAACTTTTTACTTTGAAAACAATCTAACACAACACAAAATACCTCGTATAAATACATTTTTCATGTACAAAAAAAGAATTACAATAAAAAAGAATGACTAATTTTACTTTAATTCGATTACTGAAAGCAAATAATCTAGTAGTAAGGTTATTCGACTTTTTATCGAAAATGATAAGGATTACAGTATCTGAGGTAATATAAATTCCTTCAAGTTAGCACATACACTCTTTACTTATAAAATGCAAATAAACATTGAAAAGGGTTTTCTGAAAGACCACATCTCAATATTTAATAATAAATCAATAATCAATCACCTCATCAGTTCACTTAATTGCGATCAATTCAATCAGTCATACTGTATCATTGTGATATATTTACAATATTATTACTCAAAAACAAAAAGACTAAAATCTCTTCGATAACAGTAAAATACTTGATTAATATTATATTTCAGAAGAATGTTTACTGAATAAAGACTATTCTTTTCGATAACTTCATCATGAAATTCTACAGTTATAGATACATACTAGTGAATGAATTAGTGTTATTAACAACATTATTGCTGTTTAAGTAACATCAAATCAATAATAGCAACAGATTACAGTTCAATGTCATCAACATAACAATAAACTGAATGTCAGAAAAATTAGGATAGATAATAGTACAAATTCATGAATTTATAGTCTCTACTGAAGACCAGAGCAGTAGTAGCGGCTGAACTTGTTTCTTTTGCACACAAAGTAGTGGTTGTTTCACGTGAATCACGATAGCGTTTGCTGTGTGGAGCATGCGGTACCTTGATGTTTTTGGCAAATTATTTGGTACCCGGTAGACGATAAAGAAGGATTCTCCAGTGCTGGCTTTGTGGCCGGTTTGAACCAGGTGGTCTAATATCGAACTGTCAGTGGTTAATATAATATTATATATATTAGATATGTAACATATCGTTTATCTTTTATCAAATACCTCTTCCACATATTTTTCTTCCTCTTCAACAAGACATTACACTGAATAAAAGGTAACTGTCAGACATGATTATTTTCTTTTACTTACATGATGTTACATAAAATGTTATTAAAAATCATCTTACAAATGAATCAGTTTTACAATGAAAACTTTTGTTTCCTGAAATCTTTTATTATTAGACGAAAAACTTCAGAAAACGAATAGAAAATTTATTGAATTCGTTCGGTGTGTCAGTGGTTGAACAATAGAATACTTGCCAACCATGTATTTGGTTCGAGTTTAGGTCCCAACTGACACACTACTAAACTTTGCTTTATCTGTCGACGTGACTCTAGCGATTCCACCCTGCAAAAGAATAAGACCCCATACCAAAATTTTAAAGCTTAAGACTTGAAGCCCATTAGTTTACTCGGAATCTACAGGAATTGAAGCGAGAGAGGGATTAGCGAAACGATTTAAACTTGAATAAAGACGACGCTTGTTCAGTGAAATTTTATTTCTCTTCTGAACTGTACACAATCAGACAAAAACAAAGATTTTGAATTCAGTTAATAATTAAATATAAAGCAAGAAAGTTTAATGTTAGTTTGTTATATTCAAAAAAGACAATTATGTTGAAATGGTAATGGTTAAACACTAATGTTGAACACATTTTTAAAAAGAAGTTAGAGTACTTGTACGAAATGCTTAAATAAACCAATAAATTTTCCTTCCATTAGTAAAATTATGGTGCTTCACATATGCTGTAAGTGAATGAAGATAAAACGGCAAATAACTGTTTAATAGTTAATTGTTTTCATAGTCTTTATACAGTTTCTTCTCTCTTTGGAGATACAGTCAAGTTACTTGTTGAATTTTCTTGAATGATCACGAAAAGGCTTCATCTAGAGGACCATTGGGAACCACCTGGGAGTACTGGTTAGCCGTATCTTCCTTGTTTGGGACTCTTCAGCAGCTGGCATATATGACTGCGCCAGGGATCAAACTAGGACCCTAAGATTTCAAGGCGAGCTCGTAAACCATTCGGCCACTGGAATAGAATTCAGTGGCCTGTCAATCCCAACTTCTGCAAATTCGCGATTGAATTTTAACAAGAAATTATTGCATACATAAGTATTATAGACATGTATCTGTATATAGAAGTATAATGATTAGATAAGTAGTAGCTATTCTTTCAAAACTTGTTAATCAATAATAATAATAACGATGGTGAATATCTTCTACGTATGTATGTACATTTCTGGTGAAAATTTATCATAAAGTGAGAGTGATGAAAATGGATATTTGTTGATTTTTAAATTACTTTTCTAGTAATTCTTTTAATGCATTGATGTAATTAATAGCACCACGTAATATTTCAACTTTAGCTAATCTTCTATCAGGTAATATCGTTAGTGGTAAATGACGTTTTAATAATTCATAACCAGCATTAACACATCGTACGCGTTCACGTTCACGTGCATTTCTTAATCTAATAAAACTACGTGCACATTCAAATGATGTTGATGGTGATGTTGTTGATGATTTAGATAATAATGACAAATTAGTGGTATTTGATTGGTTTAAACAGTTCTCATGAATCCTTTGGAAATTTTCACTATTTTGAATTCTATCTTCATTAATACTGAAATATTTAGTAGCGTCGTTATTATTGTAATTATCGTAATTAATTTGTTTATTTGTATATTCATTAATTTCATTTATCGCATATGGGCATAAACAAGTCCACTGATGTGTTGAAAGGTTACGACTTTTTCTAGATATTTTCGCTGGTGTTGAAGAACTCATAGTTTCTGTATGACCAATATCACAGAAATGATTTAAACATGGTGATGAAAGTTCACTTCTCTGCTGTCCATTACTACAATCATTATCACATTTGAAATAATCAGTAGCAGATGATGTATCAGGAGAATATATGTTTGGTAATATACTGAGTGGATGATTTAAACAGTGGCGTGATGTAGCTCCGCTATTCATGGAATTATGCAACACGTTTGAGAAATTCATTGGATCTGTCATTTTATTTTGCAGTTCTGGTGTTATTGGTATTGAATATGATGTGTGTGCATCAAGAATCTCTTGGCATAGGAGTACATGATTACTTGATGGTAAATTATACATTCTGTGAATATCTGATGGAAGAATTTCCGTCACTGGATTTTTTGAAGCAATAAATGGAGTTTTATTGCGCGCCATATTGAATGTATGATTATCCATAACAAACATGAGGAATGTTCATATCTATTATATTTAAGTAAACTGATGGTGGGAACATTTGATAAGTAACGGTCTTCACCTTGATTGGTTTAAGCTTCGCGTATTGAATTTTTGATTAGTCAATATTATAGCCAATGAAAACAATTCAATGAAATCATCGAATCAGAATGAAAATAGAAGGAAAACTTTCTCGGTTTTGGTTAACCAATAGGCTAAATTGTACAGTGCCCACGTTCATTTGCATTTTGTAAATAAACAAATGGGAATTTTAACGGCTCGCTATGACCAATCGCACCTGGTGAACAAAATTTAACTATCCTAATGCAAATAGTTATTAAGTTCTTTGATTCACAGAATGAGTCTAGAAATTGAGACTGTCCGAATTATAATCAAAATTTGTTTCAATTTGTTTCCATGTCCGAATTATACCACAATTCGTCCTCAAATAGTCTCGAAATAAATATGAGCGAGGTTGGAGAATAGGAAAATATTAGTTGACTGATTAAAAATGCTCATTAAAATTTTCAGAAGAATGGACACGGAACAAAGAGTACTCTTTTCGATAAATTCATTATCAGGTTCTACAATTATATATACATTATATTAGTTAACAATTATAATTTTTTTTGTTTCAATATCCTGTATCCAAATTATTTTCCAAAAATTGTTTTCCCATGAGTCACTATGTAGAAATCCCTGGTGTGTGTTATTCATTTTCTAGCTAAAATGGTTTACTATGTATATTGTATTGTGGAGAAGTAACCAGTTTTGTGAATAAAACTTGTGCACTACAGCAGTATACAACTCTATGCATTTATTCCCCTTGATGAATTTGAATAAAGCAAGAACAACAGTGGTTTGTGAAGAATAATATGGTGCCATCATTTATTTTACATGTTGCCAGAGTTGCCAGAAGGTTCCGTAATTAGTAGACAGTGCTCAGAAAACTGCGCTTATATAGTTTTTACACAGGCAGTTCAAGTTTTAACAAAATAAATGTGTGCATACAATGGTAAAGGAGTTACGTAATAAAGACGAGAGATGCGTAAGATGCAAAGTGATTAATAAATTAGGTAACAATGTAATGAATTCAACTCAAATCACAGAAACAAGAGACAAGCAAAATTACAAATTATAAAAGGTGGGTGAGGTTGGAGACAAAGATTACGTAATCAGATTAGAGAATAAAGACATCCAGTTACCAGAGCAAGGAAAGACTAATAACTGCTTCTTTCTGAACACATAAATCTGGTTTGAAGCGTTTGATAGAAATTTCTTCGGCAAACTTGAGGAGAATGGAGCTCCTTTGTCTATTGATAATTTTAAAGGATTTCTCGATTTCCACCTCATGACCCGTGTCGAGGAGATGTCTGGTAATAGCACTATTGTAAGAGTTTGTTCTCTCGAGATACAGACGTTTCAGCACATGTTCAGAAAATCGGAGTTGTGCCCTACTTTCTTCCAATGTAACTGCTCCCACAGATACACGTAAATTTGTATACACAGTTGGAGTTAACATGAGAAGGGTATCTATCGACTTTTTACTGCACCGAAGAGCATGTTGTTCGATGAACGGAAACCAACTTAGCTGCATCATAGGTACTGGCTAGTGACGTACTCAGTCTTCTGTTGACCATTGCTGCAATGTTTTCACCTTTAAAATCTAGTTGAATGAAGACAGGCTTTTTTCAACTGTGATTTGTTTGATATTTGAGCCTTCACATCTTCCATTTTTGGTAATGAATCTTTGGGGATAACCGTTGTTTTTCAACACCTTTTCGAGAATCGTAAATTCTTCGTCTAGTTTCTCTGCAGAGCATATTCTCCTCGCCCTATATTACAAAGTCTTGACTGGTGCTCGTTTATAGCTATTTGGACAAAAACGATTAAAATATAAGTATTGTCTATTCCATGTCAGCTTTCGATAAATTGATCTCTGGAGACTACCATCTTCTAGGTGTTGCGTGGCAATGTCAAGGAAATGGAACTTTCCATCATTTTCATGTTCCATAGTAAGTTCAATGTTTGTATGTGCGTCGTTGAGTAATCTGAGTAGGTAGGAAGCATGACTTTCATTGTTGCACACCACAAATGTGTCATCGACATATCGATAATAGGAAGTTGTTTGGTCAATTGCATGCTTCAACTTTGTTTTCTCAATGTTTGACATGAAGATATCTGCTAAAACAGGGCTAACTGGACTGCCCATAGCTACACCATAGCTACAACTGGAATTGTACACCCATGGTACACATTAGCAGTAGGCGTTTGAATTCTGACTCTGGTAGTGGGAGAAGATCAGACTGCTGACAAATGATCTCAATGGTTTCATTGCTTGGGATCATTGTGAACAAGGAGGTTGCATCAAATGACGCCATGAACTTATTTGAAACGTTCATGTGATTCACACTTCCGACGAAATGAAATGAGTATACAACTCCATATTCACTTTTTTATTGGATGTCTGACAGCGAAACGAGACTGATTACTTGATAACGTTTCGGTCACAATTTACTGTTCATGATTAGCTGATATGATTGTGATGTTTTTTTTTCTATTGACATTTTTTCTTTTTCACTTCCATTAGCACAAATTACTAAGGCTGATGATCACCGTAACACAAATTCCAGACACTTCATTAGGTGAACATTTATAAGTCTCTCCATTGATTCATCTACTTTACTTAGGACTCAACGAAGAACTCTTACATCTCTTATTTAGTTGCTCCATCAGATACTAGCAAAACTAAGAAAGCAGTATTGGTGAACTACTTGCAACCTCTGTACATCTGCTACTATTAATAATCAAATCTAACAATGATAGCAGGCCTGGCAATTCTACGCCGTATAGTCACTTGAAATTTTGAGATGAGACGATCACGAAATAGTGATTTAAATTTCGGCTGTCCTTGAGAAGTGTTCACAAGACTCTAGGTCCAGTCAATATCTTCACTCAGTAGAACTACATCTGAATGCTACAAATTAACAAATGTATCTCCTGTAAGACTGTCAATCTCTATAGAATCAGGTATAGAGGTGGAGCTAGCCATAGAGCAGAAGTGAACATCCTTAATGAATCCTATTTTATGCAGACATTTCACGAAGAGCCTAACGAAGGTCAAAATGTGATATAATGTTTAAGTATACACTCGTCAGCATAAGAATTTACTTGGTAAGCATGTTTCCACGAAGGATTCTACTATGAAACCTCTCAGTCGATGGAGTCAGGTATATTTTTCAACTCAAGAAATGTAGTTAGTATCAGATGTTAACACTGGCATCGGTGTCCCACAGTCTGAGAGAGGGGAAATATCTGGTCGGTAGACTTGTACTCAGGTTTTAAGTCAGTTTGGTCTTCTCACTTTCGTTGATTTCCATATACCACTTAACATCTTAGTGATTAGGGGTTAACTCAGTTCCCTAGCTGTTATAGCCAGAGGACTGTAATGTTTTATTATCACCCTTGGTTTTCTGAGAATTACAAACAGTATCTGACTATGTTTTTAGAGAGGAGAAGAAGTATTCATTATTTTTGTGATATCAGTTTAGAAGATATGCTGCGCGTAAGGTGTCATATTTCCACGTGAGTGAATTTGAATATGATGACATACTATTATAACGGAAGAAGGCAAGACATGGAAGCAAACGTATATTTTCAAATGATCAAACAGCTATTTATATCATTATAGGTTTCCAGGCCGTAGGTGTTACGAACTTCCTGGAATAATTTGAGCACCGAGTCAGATTGATTCATTATAAATTATTTAAATTAAATCTGCTGAAGAAGCTGTGGCTTACACAGCGAAACGTTCAGAAAAATCTTGTTTTGATTTTCTAAACACGCTGGGATTAATTTAAATAATTTATAATGAGCTATTTGTATCTTAACAGTGTGTGATTTCGGTTGACATCAAACGACATGAAATATAATGTTCTAATACATATATTATTGTTTAAATCATGGAAAATTCCCATTGTAACATATGGAAAATCAAAACATTGCATTTCGTATTATTATTATTATAATTATTATTATTTCATGCATTCACACCTGTTTCAATTCTCTCACCGGTTATAACCTCTTAAAAACCACATATATACGATTGTACAGCTTGATGATAAATTCGTTGAAAAGAGTCTCTTCACTGAATCATTTGTTTTGATTTTCTATATATTATTGTGTTGCTAGTGCATTACTTAACTATGGGAATAGTATTCAGGCGTTAACATCAACAAGTACAATGATTCTTACTGTGAGAATAGTATTCCGTTGGAACCCACTGTTTGTATCACACCACCACACTATTATTGTTTTTCAGTAATTGCTCCTGTCAGTGCTGGTGAACATTGAATTGTTTGTTTATTCGAACTTGTCTCCATTGGCACGAGACAAGAAGGCTGTTATTGCTTAATCGTGTACTTTTTGGCAGAAGATTGGATTAATACGTTCAGAAGTATTGTTGTGTATTATATTAACGTTTATTTACAGACTTTGGCACTGATTAACCATTGTAAATCTGTTTCATTATCGCTTGAAGAATACACAGTCGTGTTGTCCAACCGTTTTCTGTTGTTCTGAGTCGGTTACAGTGCATAGTGTTCTGAGTATTAAGCTTAGTCTTCTGAAACCAGCGATAGGTCCAGGATCTCTGCTGTCTGGATATTTGACAGCTCCCATTGGTAGACTGTAAACAGGTGATATGCACAATAAAGCCTATGTAATAAATTACAGTATGTTACGACAACAAATTAATCAGTGAAGTAGAATGACGTGGTCAATTGACACATTAGTTTAAGTGTCAATGTGATCATCTAAGGCGATATTGATAAGAAATGATGACACAAGAACAGTGACTACAGTTATTTCCTTAATACCTATTTGAAGTGCCTAAGCCACAAATACAAGTCATCCACGTAGACAGCCTAAGTTGATTGGGTGATTTTTCGTTATTCCACTACAAATACAGTTCCTGTGGCTATTTCACTTGTTAAGACTAATGAATACTAACACTATACGCAACCGGATTAAATGTAACTGAAACACTTCAT